TCCCAGGCAACCACAAGTACGCTGTGTTTGGGAATCAAGCGCACACAAGGCGGTGGTTGGACCGTGGTCCGCTCCACGCACAGTGCATGGAACCACTCTTTGAGCCTAACACGACCACAAGGACCGTGCACCTCCATCAACGACCAACTGTCTCTTGAAGCCAGTATGGAAGAAGTAGTGGGTAATAGACAGGTAGGCACCTTGTCAACAAGCACATCAAGCGCAGTCACACCGGGGATATCAAGCAACAGCCAATCACTTGGAAAGGCGAGATCAGAAATTAAATCGTATAATGTATACGGATATGCTGATATAACTCTTGAATGAATGAGCGTATGAAATAAATTGGTTTCCAACAAATCCGCAATAGGTTCAAGAGATCAGCAATGATATTTTAAGAAAATGCCACAAACGCGAAAATGTTATCGAAGTTATCTACCATTGGTTAAGCGACGTGTGTAAGTTTATAGAAGATAGTTCAGGTAGATAAGAATATGAGATAACAAGTATTGGGACAATACAGCAAACTCACCACCTGAAATAAAGAGACAGCAAGCACTCGGTTAGCAAATCGAATGCAGCGTACCTACAAAAGCTATGTTGGTTTTGTCTACGTTCACTGCAGCACTAGTCCTCGTTTCTGTGTTGGCCCCAAATGGCTTCCCTCATAGCTCATTAGGCTTGCCTAACTCAGGCACTCGCGACCGCATGTGCTAAAACACTATGCGCTCCATGTCTATGGAGTACAACCCATCGGCGCCTGCGGCTTGCGCGCTTGCCGCTTTTTCTCCGCATGCATGAGGGGTTTCTTCTGCAACTCAGCAACTGTCTTCATGATCAGATCGTGCCGTGAATGTCGACCAACCGACTTCGATTCCCGTGACCTGCACTCAAGAGTTGAACGTGATAGGCTCACTTTGATCACGTCCTGGTAACGAAGCTTCGGTTTCCCTTGATGCTGCTTCCCAACACTCAGCTGACCATATAATAGCTGCTTAGGTATAAGCATCGAATCCATACACAACACATGACCGAGCCACCTCAGGTGTCTCAGCAAAATTATGCAGTCCACTGCATACATTCCACTTCCACGTAACCCCTACGAGTCTGCAACTCTGTCGCCCCAACCGACGCGCAGAAGCAGTCGCAAAAACTGCTGACAGAACCGATCGAGAAACCGCACATCCCGCCGGTACATGGTCCAAGTTTCACTGCCGTATAGAAGAACGGACAGCACCATGGATTTGTACACCATCAGTTTGGTGCTAACGATAAGCTGATGGTTGTTACGGACGCAGTACTCTAGCTTCCCGAATACCACCGCTGCATTTGATACACGGATACGTAGCTCACTGTGCACCTGCTGGTCAGTCGACACCACAATCCCAAGGTAGAAAAAACAGGAGTTGGTTTGTGATACTTCAACACCAATGCTGATTTGAGGCAATATTGCAGTTTGCACCTTTGGTGAAGGCTAAAAGAGACAGTTTTGTTTTTGTTAATACTGATCCCGAATTTGGCCGCTGTCAAAGCCGGAGCACTAGTCATGTGCTGCAACTCATGCGCGCTGTGTGAAAACAACGCACAGTCGTCAGCAAACAGCAGCATACGGATAGTTGTCTCACAGATTAATGTTCTCGCATTGAAACGACGGATGCTCAGCAACCCACCATCAATACGGTGCTCCACACGAACACTGTAAGCACAGCGGCATCAAAAGCACAAGGCATCATTGCGTGAAGATAAACATCAAACAAGGCAGAAGCTAAGACGCAGTCTTGCTTCACAACAGAGACAACTGCAGAATTATCCGAGGTTTCTACTCAGCTGCACCCACGCCCGCATACGACTGCGCAAACATTCAATTAAATTTACAAACTTACGCGGGCAACCAAACTTACCCAACACCAGCCATAATGCCTCGCGGTTCACCGTACCAAATGCCTTGGTGAAATCAACAAAAAACGAGTACAACGGCTGGTGTCGTTCTTTAAACTTCTCCGGCAACTGACGAGCAGCAACCACCATATCTATGGTGCTGCGACCCGCATGGAATCCACACTGCTCTTCCGCCACGTTAGGTTCCACAACCTGACTGACGAGGCGGTTGAGCAGGATTCGGGCAATCACCTTGCCCACACAACTCAGCAAGTTGATGTCACGATAATTCGTGCAATATTGCTTGCTCCCTTTGCCCATGTACAGTCGTAGCACAAGGGCACCCTTCAACCTAGAATGCACCTCCTCCTCAACGCACGCGAGTTGCCCCAATCGGTGCAGCGCAGTCACCAACTCAGGTCCGCCGTGTTTCAATACTTCAGGCGAGATCCCGTCGACCCCGGCACACTTGCCGTTTCGCAGCTGAGCAAGTGCTCTCTGCGTCTCATCTAGTGTCGGCGTATCCGCCAGACTCGCCTTCATATCGTACTGCTTTAGGTCGTTCAATGTACGCCAATCGATCTCTGAACGGCTGTTCAAGAGACAGTCAAAGTTTTTCCGCCAGATCTGCATTATGTTTGCAGTCTGTGGCGTAACATTCCATCCGCTTCTTTTTCTCCATCCATCATGCATTTTTAATGCGACGGAGTTCTTGGGTCAGTCGTCGTCGAATTCGCCGAAACTTACTCTTCTTCCCCAGGTCAATGGGATCTGCCATACGTACAGCAAATGCTGCCTTCTTCCCCGACACCAATGGCCAATCGTCACATTTTTCTTATTAAACCCGATGGTCCCTTCGGCAGCAGTTGTCACGTGGTCACGAATGTGGTGCCACAGGTCGCACACTGTGGCATTCCACATCACACTTGCGTGCAGCTATCGCCTTCTCCATTACCGAGGGAGCGGATCTTATATTAGGCGATTCACGGCGGGTGTTACGTATATATATATATATATATATATATATATATATATATATATATATATATATATATATATTTGTTTTCGCCTGGATTTGCTGCGAAACCTCTGCAACTGAAATGCTTAGCTTGAAGTATGATGTTTCCTTCTCAAGCAGGCACATTTTCAACATTTACGCCAGGCAGAGCCACCCGGGGATATCAAACAACCAACACAATATTTGAAGGAAAATAAACGCAAAATTGACACTAAATGTGCAGCAGGATAACAGAACAGATCAAATCAGATAAAGTGGAATACGGCTACATATTTATCCATATTAGAAATATATATACCTATTAATCAGGGTCTAAAATTTTCAGCGCAGTAAATGATGGTCACATCAATAGTAGTGGGATGGCAACTTTGCATCCTGAAGCAATTCTTTGTATCAATAGTAGTGCTTGTATCTGAACAAGTATGAACGCACACTGTGTTTATATGTTAGCTACTTTGAATACGGTCCCAGTGGTCGAGTTGAGCGAGGTTCATTTCGACGTAAGTCGAAACGAAACTTCAGGCTGAACATCAATCAAGTTACATTATGAACAGACAAACTGAGACCTAAGTATCTGTGCATACAGTTGTTAGCGTCTTAGGTGGCTAGTGTTTAAGACCCTCTCAGTTACGTTTGTGTCTCTGTGTGGATTTCTGTTTTACCTAGCTTTTGAGAGTAGTAGGGAGATTTGTATTTTTTGGGAGGGCTCTTGGCAGCTAAGATGAGACGACCCTCTGGCGCATTACTGGCTGACTGAATCCAGCTGCGACGTACCTTCTCGAAATTACCTGTCTTTACCTTCAGCGAGCCAAAGAACGGGATAGTCTGTAATCTGTGTGACAATTTTATCTCCAGGCTAAGCACCGAATCCCATAAAGCGGTTATGGAGTGGAGCGATATGAGTTGCTAACACGCAGAACTTATTTACTTCGGTTGCAACTACAGCGGTCAAGATTATCGAGCTTCCCTTCCCTGTGGGTTCCCATCTCACCAAACAGGTGTTTTAATTCACTTGCTTGACCATCACTTCAAAATGAAACAACAATAACTTTACACATTAACCGTCTTAAAAAAGCATACACACTTATTACCACAATTGATCATGTCATTAATGGCTCTTGTTCTAGTTTTCCCAATTATTAACCCTTGTTTTTCTTAGTCACAGAGTTAAAGCGTTACACACATCGACGTAGTTTCTACACTAGTTTCTTATCTGCGCTTAAAAATATACATATATTATACAAATCATCATATTAAATAGTAACCTTCAACAATTTGAGAAGCACGGAAAGAAGACGAAGGCTGGTAGATGCATGCGTTTCGTATTGTCTCCTCAAAATGCAATACAATAAGAAAATACGAAATGCATGCATCTACCAGCCTTCGTCTTCTTTCAGTGTTCTTCAAATATTAAATAGTGTTTGTGACACTGAAAGCCAAAAGGCATGTTGGATACTGCCGCTTCAAGTAACCCACTGCATATGCTGCAACCTTTGTAACCTGCTTTATTTAGCTGTACAAAGTGGGTTAAACGGAACATTAGGCACATGGTTCTCCAGGTGTAGCTTACTGGTGCCCCCGATGAAACCGAATGCCAGTTAGAGTTCGTCTGGTTAAATTGAATGCATTCGGCAATGCTTAATGCTATGAGTCAGTCCCACAAACTCTATTAATTTATGGATGTAGTGTTTCGAACATCATAAACTACTTATGCTATGGTCAAAGATTAGAATTGTAAAAGACTGTTTCAACTCCGACTTGGCTACTTTGATTAAATCTACCTCTTTAGTCCTAGCTCATGCGGTTTACTTCACATTGCAAAACACTTGCATCCGTTTTGTTCTTCAAGAAGAATCAGTAAAAACTCAAAATACTTCCTTAGCTGTTACAGCGTTTAAAGCATTTTGCGAGTGACCTGATAATTTAATATCTATGTGTCTTGGCCATATGGGCCGGGTAATTACCGGCCTTCATTACGAAAGAATAACGACTACGCAGACGACGAAACTTCCCTGTGCCTTTACGAAAACAATCGGGCATGTTACGTTGTTAACTCTCAATTTTTAGGTTTCCCAAATTGCTCACTTCCCTTGTTGCTTTTCAGACGTCGCATTGGATCGACCAACCTACGCAGCATTGAACCGGCGGAGCTATGGTGTATGTGCCTGGTCTAGTGGCCATAATCATCTTTTATGTGCTCATTCTTGGGGTTGGATTCTGGGCAGCTAGAAGGTCCAAAAAGCTTTCTGCCGCAAGCACTGAAAGCGAAGAAGTGATGCTCGCGGGTCGGAACATTGGACTCATCGTGGGCATTTTTACCATGACAGGTAAGTCCACTTTTGTGCGCAGCAGATCCAATAGATATTTTACCGTCCATTGCGAGTTGGCCGTCCAAATTAAACTAAGCGTTAGAAACTCCTTGTAATCAAGCTACTGTGAAATTTCGATACATGTCGGGTGCATGGAGTTACTTCTCTGACAATTAACACCGAAGACTTTTCAACAAAGACGTAAACATGATAGCACCGCACTATTTACCTCCGGACAAAATTCTCTGCATATTATCAAGTGTGTACTTCAGATTGGCTAAGATTGATGTATTTCAACGACGTTTGAAATCCGCAGTGGCGGGTTTGTACCCCACGATGCAACCCGTGTTACTGTACACAACCACTAGCTTCCCTACTCCGTTGGTTAAGCCACCAGTACCTCTGTCCAACCGTACACACGTCGTTCACCAATTCACATGTAGTTGCAAGGCCGACTACATGGATATGACAGAGCGTCAGCTGCAGGTGAGAACGATCTCAACAATCACCATACAAAGTTCCAGTCTCGTCAATTGCCCGTCACCTGTTGCCAGACAAAACAACGTGGACCCTGCGCTCACGATCCGGGTTATCTTCGCGTCAAATAACACCCACATTTTACGATAGAGCGAAGCGGTGGCCATGAAACTGGGCCCCGCCCTATGTGCACAAAAGACGCATCCATCACATTGGCTCTGCCGTGGTAGTAGGCCAGCTGACAAACGAACAATTGACCTGAGTGGTTGTCTATAGGTGTGTCAGCATATGTTCATTGGTGAATTTGTAATCCCAGATGTTTATGATACTACGTACACACGTTTGCACGCAAGCTGCAGTACGCACCGGATAATATGCCGAGAAAATTTTCCGAATATAAAGCGTGTTTGTTTACAGTTACATCGGAAAACAGATGCTTTAACAACCTAAGGATAAGGACCAATCATACTGCAATTACTACGGCATGGATTATTCCCATTAGGTAAAAATGCTTGATGGTAACAGTTTCCGTTTCAGCTCTCCACATTTGGCCAAATCTTTCAAAACCTGTTTGTTGAAGATGAAAGTCACCAGGTTTATCTGATCTAAAACTTATAGGAAGACTAACAACCTGCGTAAAAACATTTCCTTGGAACCTTTAAGACTTGGATAAACACTAAACTGATTTATTCATTCGTTTCATCCCTCCACTTTCATTATGAACACCAATCATGATTCGTTGCGCTCGCTTAATCAGGCAGTACTTAATAGCTGCATAGATCACTCAGCTCCTTAATGAAAGTCTGTGTCGTAGATTGGGAGATTGTGTGGTTGGTTAAATTGGTAGCAATGCTACACCCGATGGAGTTGGGCCAAAGTGGTGAACCTATTGTGCGCCTAGGTTTATTTTATTGAGTATGGGAAATGGTTTGAATGAGTTACTCTTAAAAAACTAACATCGTCTTCGACACATTACAGTGGAGAGTAGTTGCAATACTTGAGAATTTGAGAAATGAACGTTTGGCATTTTTCTTCTCAGCACGTACAGGATGTAGCAGATATGCGATGTCCCCAATACGTCACATAAGTAAATGCAACCACGTTATTTATACCTAATTGTTGATGGCCGCATAACTAGAAATACACACTAGTTCACAACGCAAAATTCATAGAAAGAAAAGCAGCTGGATAGCCTGAACCAACGGAGCTCCATCTGCAAGCTACTCAGTGTTCTGACTAAGTTCATCAAACTGAAAGTGCTGAGACATCACTCGAATTGCAGGTACTCTGGTGAATCTAGACTTATATGCTAAATTCAATTGACGATGTGGAAGCAATCTTGTATTCGACATCTCACCTGCAGAAAGCATCCAGTTTGGACCTTGTACTTCTAGTTATTTTGGGAAAAAGTGTAACCGAATGGATAGAGTTCTGGGAGAACACCATGTGCATAGCCTAGTTAGGTCCGCATTTACTAAACAGACTCACAATCAGGAGCCGGAGTGCTGCATTCGCTAGACCTTACTCTTAGACAGCTGAAGTCCACAAATATCATCAGAGTACGAAGGATGCGCCTCAAGGAGGATGAAGGTTTCGCTTCAAACCAAGTAGAGGGGCCAATGGTGCTGCAAAGCAACCAGCGGTTTCTAACCGTCTACCACATGATCTACAGTTCGTGGTGATGAATGATACACCAGCCCGGTTCAAAGCATAATCTGCTAGCAAAATAAGTAGGGACCACATTCGAACCGCACATTAGTAGCGAGCGTAGAACAAAACTAGCAGCTGTCTAGGTACAAGTATAGTTACATCTCACAGAGTGCCCAAAATGGGTCGGCAAAGCGGTCAAGTACTGTACCACAGAACTCAACTCTAAGACATCAAAAGAACGGCAAACATCTACCATCAAACAGTCAACGTAATTCATTATCCCAAATTTATTTCTGTTGACTCATTGCTGTGCTCTAAATGAATCGTCTGTATGTAAGCTAATACCCAAGGCTTGCTCATCGGTCTTTAGGTACGCAAGACTGCAAACCTGCACTTGTTCTCAGAGTTACGGACGTCGATAGCGCGATTTAGGGAATGCCGCTCTTCCGAAACAATTGCTTTATCAGGAGATGTGGTGTAATTCTTTATGTTTACAAGTAATCCAATGCCAGTCGTCAAATAATTCAGAGACCCACTTCGTTGTCGCTAGTAGCTAAGCTAAGAATACAGCTGCCCTGCGACAGCAATTGGCCACCCTCCATTGGACTTGTGCTCAACATCGGCCTCGACGAAGCCTTACTTAAACATTACAGTCACATTCGCATGTAAGGTGAGGACGGCGTACACGATCTAGATAAATGAGCTCAAGTGGCAAATATTTCAGGGTTGAGTTGGATGACCTCGGTGCAAGTATTCCGCGCCCATTTGCATTACTTGAACTATCAGATGAAAAGCTGGCAGCCGACCTTTTACAATTAACCTCATAATTACTAATGAGAGGCGCGAAATCATCCACAGCTTGATAGGGACGCTACCAGGGCCTAGCGATTATGCGACCATATTGTATAACTATGTGTGTTACACCAACTACCTGCAGGAGCTCAGGGAACCGGCACATACATTCCCGCGCTGCAATATCTTGACAGACCAGGCTGAAATAAACAGCTGGGAACTTCTGACTAACCGCTCCGATATCACAAATGAACTAACGCAAGACTCGAGAATTCACGACCTTAAGAGTCGCGGCGTGACAAGTCTACAGAACCCGCCCTGGTACTGAAGCCTGCAGTGGCGACGTGGTCCATAGCAAGCACTGTAATACGCGTGTTTGGGAAAACAATGTGGCTAGCCAACCACATCTGGCCAGTATGTTTTTCAGTAAAAATTAGCTGTTTTGGTTAAGGTTTTCACCCAAGTAATTCACAAGCTATATAGCAGAGCCTAGTCCGGGAAAGCACCAGACGCCTTTCGCCCTATTGGGGCTCGTCAATGGTGCGCATTCCCTCGGTCCTCTAAACCAGATCGAACCCATGACTGCTAGAGGCAGATGTCAACCAGCCAGCAGCTTAAACCACTGAGCCATGGGGGATGTTGGCTATGGATAAAGCGTCTAGTGAGAGGAAGTCATCAACTCGTTGGTTAACCACTGTCACTGACAGTGGAAGAGAGGTGGTGCTATATCCCAGTTAGTTTGCAAATTATGTAGCCCAGCTAACCACCCCAATTGCCCAGTAGCTTACGCTGCTGGCTAGTTAGCATCTGCCTGTAGCCGTCATTGGTTCGATCCTCCTTAGAGTACCGAGGGAATGAGCACCACTGACGAGCCCCAATAGGGCGAAACGCGTCTGGTGCTTGATACGTATTGCTCGAGTATTGCTGGATCGCACCTGGACCCTTAGTCCGCGCAAGAAGTGAATAAGAACACACACCGGACGGGACGTGTCAAAAACTGTAATAGATAGCTTGTAGGTTACCCCAGATGAATAAGTCGAAAAGGAATCAATCAGCACAAGGAAAAAGAGTGGACGAATCAGCTATCGGTCAATCGATCTGTATGTGTCTGTGTTTGCTCATCGGCTCAGCAGTTTAGCGGACGACACTCATGTAACATCCCCTCACGTGACAGATGGAATCACAGTTGGCAAATGTAACGTTCTATCGGCTTAGGTAAGCGGTGCGGTTTCCGAATAGCAATCGGCTGATCGATTTCTTCCGTTTGGCTTTTGTTTGTCTCCTCCAGATCTTCTGGAACCACTTCCTCTTCCCCAGGGTACGGTGTGACTGGGGTGCGGGGCCGGCTGAAATCATTGTGCCTGCGTACTGTCTCTCCACTCTCTAGTTGTATTTCGGCCTCCGTTTCTGAGCTCGTAAGCACGGTGCCAGGCTGCCATAACTGCTCATGTGGTAGTTTCGCGTAAACATCACATTCCACTATCGACTTCTGGGGTTTAACTGGTGCGCGTCCACTTTCATGCATACGTTGTTGTCGGCAACGCCTGGTCTGACGAGGGTCTGGAAAAAGTAGGTCTAGCCTCGTACGTAGTCGACGCCCAAACATTGCCTCCCCAGGGCTCTTTCCGATAGACTCTAGCGGTGTGACCCGATATGCGAACAAGAATCGGTCAAGTTTGGTTCGTAACGTGCCATTACGCTGCTTTAGAAGACCAGCTTTCACGGTTTGGACCGCTCTTTCAGCTAAACCGTTTGACGCTGGATGGTACGGTGCGGAAGTCATGTGATGAACGCTGTTGCTCTGCAGGTATTCTTTGAATGCTGCACTCGTAAATTGTGGACCGTTGTCAGTGACTAATGTTGTTGGTATGCCATGTGTAGATAGACTAGAGCGTACGCCATTGATTGTAGCTTCTGCAGTAGCGTTTGCAACAACATGCACATCAATCCATTTGGAGTACGCATCTACTAAAAGTAGCAACATTTTTCCTTCGATCGGGCCAAAGTAATCGGCGTGGACCCGTTCCCATGGGCTGTCGGGCAACTGCCAAGGATGAATTGGGCCTGTTGGATTATCTCTTTGATATTTTTGGCATGTG